TAAAAGTCTTTTTTGTGTGTTTGGGGGAGGGGGTGGGGAGGGCAGAGCGAGGCTTTTGGTCTTTAATACTTTATTTTTTATTTTTGAAATAAATTGGGGCAGTCTGGTGCACCCCCGCCTGCCATTGCTGTCCGTGCTCAGCGTGGGGGCTGCACTTGCAGCGTGGGTGAGGGGACCCGGAGTAGGAGGCGGCCGTGGCCCCCCTGGCACCGCTGTGACCCGACCCAGCACCCAGCGCACCGGGCGCTCCCAGGCTCGGGGCTGGTGCCGGGAGGAAGAGAAAGGCGGGGGCGTCACCACCCCTGCCCCTTCCCCGTGTGGGGGGGAAGTGGCTGCATTCCGGGAAGCCGGAACCGTGGCCCAGCCTGGCACTGCTCACCCGACCGGGCCAACCCGCCCTGGTGCTGCCCGGTGCCGCGGGCCCCTCCGCCGTGGCCACGCGGAGCCGGTTCCACCGGCCGGGCCGGAGCCGGTGCCCTCCCTGCGTGGCTGCCCTGACCCCCCCCGGGGCTGCCCCACCGCAGGGCTAGGGGTGGCGGCTGCTCTGGGGGCTGACGGGTGCCATTTCTTCCCTGGGGTCCGGCCCGGCTGCCTCGCGCCCCTGCGCCCGCACGGGCACCGTGGGTGCCTCTGAGGCGGCTCTGCCCCCCAGGGTCACCAGCGTCACCACAGAGAGACCCAGTAGCCCCTGTCCTTGCAGCCACCCTCTGCTGCTGGTGCTCTGAGGGGGGATTTGGGGGCTCATCCTGGTCCCAGGGACCTCCAGGCTCCTCCTGAGCAGGGAGGTGGCCCCAGCGCAGGGGAGGGTGTGCGCTGAGGAAGCCGAGGCCGGGAGCGGAAGCGGCCCCAGCTGCTGCGGTGACAGCGCTGCAGCGGCCCCGCTGCCACCTCCCGGCCTTGACGTCATTTCGGGTAGAGCGCGGCCCGGGCCGCCCCCCCGGCACCCCCGGCCCGCGCTGCTCACACCTAATTTGGTGAGGGGAAGCGGAGCCGGCCGCGCACCGGGCGCCAGGGGCAGAGGCCTTTTAAGGCAATTGCTGCCCGGGCCAGCGCACGGACACACGTGTGTGCACAGGCGCCCACGCGGGGCTCGCTGCTGGGCTGCACAGGGATGCACAGCTTCTATGCATGCACATGCATGTGCACACACGTGTGCGCAGGCACCCATGCGCCCCCCATGGGGCTCGCTGCATGCTGGGGGGCATGTGGGGCTGCAGAGGGGTGCATGGCTGCTGTGCACGCACATGCACGTGCACACATGTGTGCAGGTCGCCCCATGGCACAGCTGTCATGACTTGCACGCAGGGCATGGCGCAGCGTGGGATGAGCGCCCACGGGAGGAGTCTGCGGCGCGGGAGAGACAAGCCGGGACACGGGTGCTGCGTGGCGCTGCCTGGCTGACGTCACAGCGCCCAGGGCCGCCAGATGCCCGGGATAACGCGGCAGGTCCTGGGCGGGAATGGTGCTGACCACCAGGCCCAGGTGCAGGGCACTCCCAAACCCACAGGGTGCCCCAGAGCTGGGATGGGAGCCGGGTGTCCCTGCCCTCCTCCTCCTCCCGGTCGTGCCCAGCCCTAGCCACAAGCCCAGGCGTCCAGGTTGCCTTGTCCTGCCTGGCCCAGCCCCGGCCCTCCAGGCCTTGGGTAGTGCCAAGCCCGCGCTTCAAAGCACCAGGCAGCGCCAGGGCTGCTCCGTGGGCTGGGGCTGCCTGGGGGCCTGCGTGGGGGTCACTGTGTCCCCGTGTCCCCACAGGCTGCACAGGGCTGTGCCTGGCCCTGCGCCGGGCAAACACCCTGCAAGGGCCTCGGCACCATCACAAATATTTGCCTTGGGTCGCAGGGGCCAGCACAGCGCGGGGCGACCCTGAGCGTGTCCAGAAACACCCCGGGGGGCGAGACCTGCTCCGTGTGTGCAGCTGGCCCAGCTCCCGGTGGCACCGCAGCCCCGGCCACAGCCAGGCCCATGGGAGCTCCCCGCTTTCCTGGGTGCCCCAGGGTCGTTCTGCACCATGGAGCACCCCCAGGCTGGGATCCCCATGGTCCCAGCACTGACGCTGGTGCGACAGCTTTGCCAGACTCCGGGTGGGTGATGGCGCAGCCAGCAAGTCCCTGGCAGGGGTTGGGAACACCAGGAACACCAGGAACACTGGGAACACCATGAATTGTTGTTGAGTCTCCTTCTTTGGAGATCTTTAAAACCCGCTTGGATGCAGCCCTGTGCCACGTGCTCTAGGTGACCCTGCATGAGCAGGGGGGTTGGACTCGATGACCTCTGAGGTCCCTTCCAACCTTCGGCATTCTATGATTCTATGATTCTATGATTCTATGATTCTATGATTCTATGAATAGGGCCTGTACATGGAGGTGTCCTGACCCCTGCACCCAGTGCAGGGGCATTAGTGATTCCTGCAGGTGCCAGGGGACACCCAGCACCAGGCAGCTCCAAACCCAGGTGCAAAGGCCCGTCTGGAGCGCGGGGGCAGCTTGGGCAGCGCCCGCGTGGGGCGGTGGCGGCAGCTGGGGCGGCGCTGCCGACACAGGGCTGGGATCCTGGAATTAAAAACATTCCAGGAACTGACTTTGAACCAGATAAAATAACAAGGCCGCAAGGAATGTCGCACTCCACCCCCCGGCGGCCACGGCCTCCGGCCCGGCCTCGCTGCGGCTCCCGAGGCTGCCCCCGCACGCGGGGGGCCCCGCTCACGTCCCACGGGGCTTGCACATGGCCTGGACGCAGCCCGGGTGCTCAGCGCTCACCGGGAACGGAGCTGCAGCGGCTGCCACAAGCGCCCAGGGAGCACCGTGCGCGCACGCGTGTGCAGCTGGGGTCCTGCCGCACACACCTGTGCAGCCTGCGCCGTGCCCGGGGTGCTCCCACGTGTGACAAGTGGAGCCCTGCATGCTTCGTGTCCCGTGTGCGGCCTCCCGCAAGGCTGTCCCACCCGGCCCCCCCGCGCATGCCTGGCCACTGAGCTCACGGTCCGCGCGGGGCTGCTTGCCTGGCGCTCCCGGGCAGCCGCCCGCCCTCCCGCAGCTGCTGCTGCTGCCGCCCCAGCCACGTCCTGCACCAGTTGGGCCACGCTGCACAGGACGGGGATTGGCCCCGTGGGTCAGGGCAGCCCCCCGAAAGCACCATGCAGGGCTCGGGACCTCTGCCCGGTGCTGGGGGTAGGGGGGTTGTGCATGTGGCTGATCTGATCCCCCACCTCCCTGCAGCAGGGAGGGCCGTTCCAGGCTTAGCCCTGGGAAGGTTGCAATGGGGACGTTACCCTGGGGATGGTACCGTGGGGACAGAGGCTGCACAGCTCATGCAGGTGACATCCATGGTGGCCCTGCCAGCCAGGGCACTGCCAGGAGGCACTGAGCCACTGTCACGCTGCCCGGGGGGGGCATGGGGCTGCTGCTGCCCCTGCCACTGCTCCACCTGGGACCACGGTGGCTGGGGGGGAGCTCTGGCAGAGGGGACAAGGCCACTCCAGGGCTGTCTGTGCCCCCCCCCGCCGTGCGTGCCAGCTTGGTGAGCAGATGGGGCGCATGCCAGGCTATATATAGCGCGCGGGACCCACAGGTAGCAGTGATGCGTCAGCGCAGCAGTGACGCAGGCACCAGCCCAGCAGCCACCCGCGCCCGCCCCACGTCCTGGGGGCCGCCTCCCCCTGCCCCAGCACAGCGCAAGCGGCCCAGGGGCAGGACCCTGTCACTCGGCGTCACCGGGAGGTGTGTGCATGTGTGTGCACGTGTGTGTACATGTATGCAGGCACCACTGCGAGCGTGTGGATGCACCTCCAAGTGTCACTGAGTGACACTGCGTGTCACCGCGTGTCCCCTGACCTTGGCTACCCCGTGGGTGGGTGGCCCCGTGCGTGTCCGGGTGGTGACTAAGCTAGGACCGCCCGCGCCCCCCTCCGGCGCCGCCCGTGTCGCAAGGCGCTTCCCGCGCCGCTTGTTCTGGGAACGGGGCCGCGGGAGTGCCCGGCCCTGCCGGGAAGATGAGACGGCGCCTCCGGCCCCAGCCGCGCCGCCGTCAGCACGGCCGTGAGTGGGGCCCGTGGGGCCCATCCTGGCGGGCAGGTCACGATGACGGCCCCACGCAGCGCAGGGACGCGAGTGGGATGAGCATCCCCCAGTGCAGAGGAGCGTCCCCCTGTCCTGGGGTGGGGCGCGTCGGGGAAGGCGCCGCCTGGGCCGCGGGTCCTGGGTCCAGCCGCATCCCCTCTCCCTCTGTACCCGCACGTCCGCTCCCCCCCCGAGATCCGCGCCGGGGTTT